TTCGCATCTTTGGTACTTTGGTACTTTGACTTTTTCATCGGCAATATTTTGATGAACCACATTTTCTTTCTCTTTCGTTTCAGGATTGATTGAGCACTTCTTAGATGAGTACCGAAAATTATTTATCACCTGATAAGAAGAGATAAGTGACTCTCTTAACTTCATAATGCGTTGTATTATTATTTTTCAAATATCAACTCGCATTCATTAAGAATGAGATTGAACATGGGCTATTCCTCTAGGGTTAAGAGTAATATTTTTATGGTTCTAGCAGGAGGTATAGATAATGAAAATATTGACATTAAAAAAAATAAATAAATAAATAAATAAATAAATAAATAAATAAATGTCTCCATTTAGCGCAATGAGAAGTATCTGGAAAATACAACGTTACATGATATTCGTAACAAAACAATTTTTTTCCCCCATCTCTTTAAAAAAAAAAGCAACTAAAATAAAATTCAATACGGACTTTGAAACTTAAGGCGAATAACTCTCGACCGTTTTTAAGCATTAAAGTTCCTCTCCCAAACTTAAAGTACCTGTCGTGGGAAGATAAAACTTAGAAATAAAGTACATCCATCAATCCGTTTGAAGGAAAAATTCAGCACAATTAAATCGCTCGAAGCGAAGAGCCCCAACTTTTCCGTACTGAATGGAGAATTCCACGACTCCCGAGAAGGTTTCAGTTGCCGTCAGGAAAATTAATTAAATCGCGATTTGAAACGTCCACATTTTATTTAGGCGTCTTCGTTGGGGATCCGGGGATATTCCTGTTGATGCTGGAAGCTGCATCTTCTCTACACATCTTTTCCGAGATGTGAGCGTGAGTCCACGAACTTTTGAGTCATCGTGCATCGGTGAAAGCGTGACATGCGAATTCCTCACGAAAACGTTTTCAAAAGTCAGTCGCGTGGGTTGCAAGGCATGGAAAAGAAGCGCGGCTGAACAATACCTGGAGGAGGCAGCTCGTTGCGGGGAAGGGCCGAGGTCGGGTCCCTCTTTGCAGTCGGCGGCCGGTGGAATGGATGTCTCCCCTTTCGTTGCGGGGGGGATGAGCCTCCTCATCATTCTTCGCAGTCGTTCTAGGCAGACGGTCCAGAAAGTCCCTTGAGGCCAACTCCGCGACCGACCTTGGAAAAGTGCGAAATCCTCGTCCGAAGAGGGGCGGTAGGCTTTCGTGGGAGGCACATCAGCGTGGGTATATAATTTAATGGTTAATTGGTTAATTTTTGAACCGCTGGGTTGACTAGATTAATAACTCAATTTTTTTTTGTTAAATTCTCAATTGTCATGAAGATTAATCGTAAGAAATGGAAAATTACTATGCACCTGAATTTCTCCTTTATTGGATCTCGACGATACATTTATTGAATTTTAATTGTTGGAATCCTTAAATTGCAATTAAAATGGCAATACAGATCGATTCGGCGTGATCAGGTGTTACGGCATTGTCACGATATTCTAGTATTTAATATTTCCCGGCACCGAAGCCTTTTCTACCCGTTCTCATCGGTTCTTTTTCCTGTAAACACTCATGCAAAGCAATGTGCAATCAACCTCTAATTCGTAGATTTATTCTCGGTAATAAAGGGCCAAGAGGGAACTGCCTGGTTACCGTGGCTTCAATCCCGTTGGAAAATGTTATGGGTGGATCCCCTCCTTAAGGGTAAATGCCTCGTTTGAATGAACCCGTGGGCAGTATGAGCGAAATGATGAAACACAGTTTTAAGCCCGACACTGGTGAGAGGGGTTCTTCCCTTTACCATGTCAAAGTTTTGAGGAGGCACGGAGAGTGGAGGCGACGAATTGGTTGAATTGTAATTGAACTTAGTATTCCAGATTTTTTTTAAAGATGATTTTTAACAGCGTTTGAGAGACTCAATGCGGTGCATGCGACCCAAAGAATGGAGAACCCTTGTCTTCCTCGCCGTTTTCTGCGACTCCTTACAGAATTAAATTGGCAGACTGACAAGACACCACTATGCATAAAAGTAATTGACTCTATGACCTCGTGATAACATTTCTTACGTGATAACATTTCTTACGTGATAACATTTCTTACGTGATAACATTTCTTACGTGATAACATTTCTTACGTGATAACATTTCTTACGTGATAACATTTCTTACGTGATAACATTTCTTATAACGGGCAGTGCATGGCAGCTTTATCTTATAAATAATATTTTCCGCAAAATGTTGGCCATAACTTCGATCGAAACGAGTCGAATTCAACACTCTTTATCAAAATTCATTGAAAGTAGGCGAGCAACGTTTCCCCCGGATTTAGTGACATTTCACGAGAGCGATAATGAATCACAGCGATTCAGAGACAGGGTCATTTTTGCTTTACCTTGTGGATGAGACTGGTGGCGAAACCGGCGCTGCTTTTTCCATGGGGTATTGGTATTGGTATTGGTATTGGTATTGGTATTGGTATTGGTATTGGTATTGGTATTGGTATTGGCATTGGTATTGGCATTGGTATTGGCATTGGTGTTCCGTTGTTTAACAGGGGGACGGTGAGCCTCATCACGACATTCACAGAAGAGAACCTCCTTTATCGGTTCCATTCCCGACTCGGAAATTTCCGATCCGCCGGTGGATGGAAGTCGGCGGAGGGTAGTCGGTGGATGGAAGACGCGAGTCAATGTGACGGCGCCGCCTTTCGCCTCCCTTTTTCTCCCGCTTTCCCTCTTCGCCCCTTCTGAGCTGGGGGATTCCCCCAGGGCGCGTGGAGGGCGCTCGCTCGCATTCGCGCCTTCGATCCTCTCTCGCTTCGATGACGAGAATTATTTCTCCCCTTTTTTTTTTCCTTTTCTGGATCCCGGTAAGCTTGGAGAAAGCGAAAAAGCCTAATTCAGACGAACGAAACCAAATAAGTCGTCCCCTGTGACCCTGTTTCCACTGTCACTTTGTCAAGTTTCCCGAGCGACATTTATTTCACGTGAATTTTGATATGAATTGAATGACTTATACGGTAAAATTACTATTAGAAGCTCCCGCATCCTTTCCCGCTTTTGTATAGCCGGATACTCGAACTTCTCGGACTCGATTGTCCGAACGAATTCCCTATTCCATTGAGGACATAACACAATATCAAAGAGCTCACGTATCAAATTTTCAGAGCGGCGTCCTTGAAAGCGTGTTGTGCAAAGGCTGGAGAGTCGACCGTGCCAAAATCGCTGCAAAAATCGACGCGAATTTCGTCTCTCGCAAATTCCCAGCAATAATTAATTATTTATAATCGAGAACAGTTGCCACCGTCGAGAGCGGAGAGTCGATAAAACAGCGAGGACGCAGAGCAACTGGTCCCGTACCCTAGCGAACTCGGAAGAAGCTGCAGCTTCACGCTTCTCCCGGGAGGTGTCAGCGTCGTCGCTTCGCTAGCCCAGGACGCTTGACAGCAACTTGCAGGAAGTTGCTCTCAAGCGAACAGGCTACGGACCACGAAAGCCCCGCCAGATGGCGTGCTCGACGGAGGGGAAGAAGAGGGAGGGAGGCGAGGGGAAGCGCCTTGAAGAAGGCTGGATTGGCAGGGAGGCGGCTTCGAAAGGGGGGCAAGGCCTTTTCACTACTGAGACATCTAGCGCAGGTTCTGAGAAGGTTCCACTTGAGAAGTCTGGCGGAAGATCATCGGAGAAAGAGGAGAGCTTCGCTGTCCACCATTGCGTTTCCCGGCTGGATTTCCTGGAGGAACTTGAAACTTGTCGAAGGTCAAGTCGATTGTTCAAAAATATTTATTTTATATTTATATTTTTTACAAGAAGGAAGAAAATGGATTGCAAAGTGAAGGGAGCCTTGAGAAATTCTGCCTCCCCCTTTTGGCAATATCCAGATTACTCAAAATCGCGTGTTCAGAGGCGTGCTGAGAATTTTTTGCTGACAATGAAACAATTATTTATCTCGTATTGATGCAGGTACCAAAGTGAAATGGAAAAAAGCGAATTTGGGGTGAGGAAGCGACTCGAAGCCATGGCCAATGTCAGCAAGTCGCCTATTTTCTGAGGAGATTGCCAAACGCTCTCGGGACGAGGAAGGAAACAGCCGCACGAGCGAGATTTGCAACTGGAACTGCGAGCGTCGTCTGCTGCCGTCTTGTTTGTTTGGGGGCGTCATCGGGGGAGTCGGCCTCTGATTGGCCGGGAGGGTCCGAGCCTGCTTCCGATTGGCCCGGAGGGTCCGATTACGTCATTCCTCCATGTCGTCTCGCTCGTGAGGGGTGGGTCATCGGGGTTGGTTGATGTTTGATGAGTTTGCTCGAGCTTTGTCGCCCATGGCGTGAATTCCTGGATTTGACGCACCCGTGGATGAACTATTGATCGGATCGCGTCATGAATTGCGTGTGTGGGAATGCGGGTTCATTGGTGATTTGAGGTGGAAGGAACAGATGTGTGCGGTGACACCCACTCGCATTCCCTTTAGAGCCTACGCTGAGATCTAAAATTAAAGTTGTTTTTCGCAAGGCTTTAACGTCATTGTTGTGACCGAATCCTGCGCTTTCTATGTAATAATTGAACGTTTTGTTGCAGGTTTGTTGTGAGAAAGTGAGCGCTTAAGGAGTCGGAGACGTGTCGGAGCCAGATGCCTGCGTAAGTTCTTTCGTGAATAAGTTATTCAATCTCAGTGCGTCTCCAGGCCTAGCCGAAGAGAAGCACGTTCCGTTTTATCGTTTGCCAATCCTGAAAAATCTATCAGTCGATTCGTATACCGCTCGTCGTGGGAGGATAGGCCTAATCTCGGTGTTTGTGGAAACATGCAGGCGTGATAGCCTCGCTGAACCCCATGCATCATATCACAAGCTGAAACTCTGGACTTGATGGGGTTTCATCAATGTAGCCCGGGTGTTGATATATCCCCCCCCCCCCCAGTGGAAGCAGCTGCCGTTTTGATAGGTTGGTGTGAGGGTCAGGGGATGATGATAAGCAGTAGTTATCTCAGAGATTAGACACGAGCAGCTCCCGCACATCTAATGTCATTGAGCTCCACGACGTGCACGCTTTGCGAGTGAGCTGTTGTGACAAGTGCATCGGCACGACCTGCAGCCATGAGTTCCTCACGGGAAGTCAGGAGCCCGCCCGCCCCGAAGATGAAGGGGCTGGAGCAGAGTTTCCTGTACCAGAGACGACAGATGGCCCACGCCCAGGCGAGAGAGCTGGCCGCTTCCAATGCAAGAACACCACTGCACGAGAAGGATTTTCAGGCCGAGTTTGACAAGATTCAGGAGATCATGAACGAAGTGGGAGGTGTGACGCCGCTGCCGAAGACCCCTCGGTCGTTCGCACCGAATCTGGCCCCGCCTTGGCAGATTCGGAGCCCTCAGGCCGAGAGAATGAGAGAGTAGGCTAAGCTTAGTATGCTCTGAGAGTCAGTCAATGCTGGGTTTCCTGTTTCTTTAATTTCACCTGAATTGATAGATGCCAGCAGCAGAGTGTTTCGCCCATTTTGAATACATACACCTGATGTGAATACATTGCTAGATGAAAATATGGATAGGAAATTTAACTTATATAAACTTATAAATTATAAGGCTACCTATCTGGATTACCTTCCATGTGTAAAAAAAATATTTGGCACAATAATATAATTATATCTCACATTTAAACATGAAATAGATTTACATGGCATACTTATTGATATTTAATTCCATATTTATGCTGTGTTACTTTAACCCTATCACCAAGTTTTATATACCATGAAATTGCAAAAAACAGGAATCTTTGGATTAGGGCAAGTCCTCACTGTATATGGTAAAAGATTATACTTATTTGAAAATAAAAAAGGGAGGTTGCTATTAAGCCACCCATTTTTTTTAACTCTGAGGCATATTAATGGTTCAGCTGTCTTCCCCATATCAAATCATTGTGACAACATGATTTGAAAAGGAATCATGAACACTCCTTGTTGGCAAAATTCAAGTGTGTAGGAAATTAATGCCATAGCAGTCATGATTCCTACAAGTGAAGAGTATGAAAAGTTTATAAATCCCTATGGAAATAGGTCATTTGACTATCTGAACTGTAGTTTTCAGATGAAGTATGTTATAACAGGAATGGAATTTACTTTCTAAATAGAATGAAGTGAGAAGAGGAGGAACGAAGCCAGTTTGATGCATCTGTGGTTTTTTTCGGGGCATCATAGATAGACAGACAATAGAACTAGCAGCATTGTAATTCCCACATTAGTAAGTGGCTATGAGGCACCAGAGGGCTTGGGAAGGGAATGAGGGAATTGATAAGATAAGACTCTCGACAGTGGCACAGGGAGAGCCAGAAAATCAGTCCCTTCTGCGTTGCTTCCACCCTAGTCGGCATGCACCAGCCAGCCTCAGTCATGAGAACGCAAAAACACCCATGCACTCGGTCACTATTCGTCTATCATTCAGACTTATGCTTTCCCTTAGATTTGATGCGTTGTTCAGGCTGGTCTGTGGAGGTTTTTGAAACTTCCTGCCAGGACAGTCGTGTGAGGAATGATGCAATGCAATAATGAACACTCAATTTATCATTATTATAGGCAATAAACTGTGATGAATGGAGATGTGTTGGAATGTTAGCTGAAAAGAATCACGATGCAAGTTTTTCCATTTTCTGCTTTCTTGTTCATTTCACATCGGTGCATTTTCAGCTTGTCTTCATGTGAAAGGATAATTCTACTGATGGACATGCATCAATATTGAGTAATCGTTGCGGTAATGATCAATGAAAGTCTGGAAATGGTTGCTGGCAGGTTGTTCCCAGGTTTGCTTGGAACAGATATTGTGAAACTTGATAACAGGAAGCTTATTTAGAGATAAGAAACCAGTACTTAAGTTGGGATGGATATATGGATGGGAGTGAATATTGCTGATTGGTAAAACTCAACATGACCATGTGAGAGCAATTATGATCAGTTATCGTCATGACCATCACAATTCGTGAGCCAAGTGCTAGCAGAAACTGCCACTTTAACTACAGAACTGAAATACCTGGGGTTTTTTTCCCCTTTTGTACTTGTAATCATGACTTTTTTTTTGCAGGGTGTGGGTTGTAAACTCCTAAGAATTACAATGAGGCAGCTCAGCCTGTAGATTGCAACATTGAAGTGAGTAATCTTGATTGATTCATCTCTGAGGAAGCACGATACCCTGATAAGATATAATGAATGAGTCGGCCTGCCCGCTTTGCGGCTGTTCACATGGAAAGTCATGGCTTATGTGATAATATATTCTAAGAATGGGTTCAGAAGACTTCAGTCCCTTATTCTTGTATCTGTATTGGACATGAACTTATGCTGTTCTTCCCTTTTTTTCCCGCAGACTGAGCATGAATTTGGGGGCTTCGGAGTGCTCTCGCTGCCACGAGGGATTCGAGCCTAACGAGAAGGTCCTCAACTCCAATGGCGAGCTTTGGCATCCACAATGTTTTGTGTGAGTCACCTTGTTACATGGATGAAGGTTATATGAACTAGCAAGTACTACTATAAGATCTACTACTGAAAATAATTCAGACTCAATATTTTCCTTTCTGTAGTAGAGAATAATGTAGATATAACATGAAAATGGATGAAGTATGTCTCTTAAATGGTAATGAACCTAAAAAAAAGATATCTGTTTTGCTGTATCTCTTGCACAAGGATATGACAGAATAGACCCTTTTATCATCCCAATTTGTCATTTCAGTAAAGTATTTGGGTATCTTCTGACCTGGAGGTAGTAAATGAAGATATTTTATTGTTACTATTGTGTGCAGCTGAGAGATTGTTCTGACAGATATCCTCCAAGGGGATTCCTGAATAAACTAATGAAAGAATTGAGCTTTTTCTGTATTTTTGCGTGTGTATATTATTCACATTTAGATAATTCAATGGGTCATGTGGGAGAATGATACAATGTAGTTTGGACTGGAGTCAAGGTAATTTCCTTCCTTGCAGGTGTGTCCAGTGCTTCAGGCCCTTCCCAGAGGGGGTCTTCTATGAGTTTGAGGGACGAAAATATTGCGAACATGACTTCCAGGTCCTCTTTGCACCATGTTGTGGAAAATGCGGTAAGTTTATTTTTTTGGGTTTCGTTTGTAATTTAGGTTTTGTTCCTTAGATTTCTATTTCACCATGTAATTTCAATTCAATGATGTTACTTGATGTAAACTCTTGTGACAACATTTGGAACCCACTTAGCTTGGTACTGTGATTTACCAAAAGTAGGTTCATATTTAAGCACATGCAAGTGAGAATTGCTGGAAATCCCTCAGTAAACTAATTTATGAAGCACCCTGTATGTAAAGAACAGAACTACTAGGGCAGCGGTTCCTAACTGGTGGGCTGTGAGTAAGGCTTAGGTGTACTGTGGAGAGTTGCAAAAGAAAAATTTTAACGAAAAAAAAAACTCAAAACAAGAGGGAATGTCATCTCGGCAGAAGACAAGCTGAGACTTATGCTATCGACAATCCTGCCTCACGTCAAATTGCTGTGTTTAGTATAGCAAGCAAGAGTTTCCCATTAAAGCAAATGCCTTGGTGTGCCATGGAATATTCAAGCATCCTTATGTGTGCTACAAATATAAGTAAGGTTGGGAACCAATGAACTAGAGCATTTAGAACATTTTTCTCAATATTCTACCTTGCCAAAACAGTTTTTGTGAATTAGTTTCTTGCAATTTTGCAGGGGAGTTTATCATTGGCAGGGTGATCAAGGCCTTGAATGCCAATTGGCACCCACTGTGCTTCCGCTGCAACATGTGCGACAAAGAGCTGGCTGACCTCGGCTTCATCAAGAATGCCGGCCGTGCCCTCTGCCACGAGTGCAATGCCCACGTCAAGGCAGCTGCTATCGGCAAACACATATGCTACAAGTGCAAGTATGGCCCATTTCAGATCATATCCATTGGAATGTAAATTGGTTGTAAAATGGCTTAATACAATCATTGTCTGAGCAAGCTGGGGTTTATATATGGAATTCCATGGGAGATGCAGTATATACATCCATGTGTTTATTTAGAAGAGTCTCATATTTTCAAGAATATTGGTATCTGATCTTGGAAGAAGATAAAAGAGCTCATGTCAAGTTGCATAATGAATTATATTTGCTTGAAAACTATTTTAAAATATGATATAGTTAAAATTAAATATTTATTAAATACTTCATATTTCTGCTTTGTGATTGAAACCAGGCAAGTTATTGAAGAAGGGCTGCTACGCTTCCGTGGTGAGGTCTACCATCCGTATCACTTCAATTGTGCCTCATGCAGTGTGGAACTCAACTCAGATGCGAGGGAAGTCACCACGTCCCGACCAGGCTACTCGGCCAATCAAGTGGTATGATCACTGTTGAGACCACCTTGTCCAGGGTTCATATTCTTAAAGCAGGGGTGCCCAAAGTGTGGTTCAGGGGGCTGCATGCTGCACACAAAGTGTTTCAGGTAACATTCACTTCAGGCACTCCTGCATTGGAACATTTGAGAATGGTTTATTTATCTCTTGCCTTTTAACTTTTGGAAGATTTGTGAGTTATATAGCCAAATCTTTATCCCTGCAGCATTGCACCAGGACTCTGTAACATATTATCCTTTAATATGCAAATTTGCAAAGAGCTACACCATGTGTACCAGCTATGCTGGAAAATTTTGTATTTTACATATAAGAGTTCTGGCCATTTCAAAGTCTAGGTTTTCATCTAGGTTTCAATTGAATCAGTTTTTAATTTCAGATGATTAAAGTAAAGATTGATTAACTCTTGTCTTCATCCAAGGTTTTTTTTCCCTTACAGAATGAGCTCTATTGTTTGCGTTGCCATGATAAAATGGGGATCCCGATCTGTGGGGCATGTCGCCGTCCCATTGAAGAGCGGGTTGTGACAGCCCTTGGGAAGCAGTGGCATGTGGAGCACTTTGTGTGTGCGAAATGCGAGAAGCCGTTCCTCGGCCACCGGCATTATGAGCGCAAGGGCCTGGCATACTGCGAGACCCACTACCATCAGCTCTTTGGGAATCTCTGCTTTGTCTGCAACCAGGTCATCTCAGGGGATGGTAAGTCTTCATCTGGATATATACTTATGAAAACTCACCTGATTATGCACCTTGTTCTTGCTCCCCCTTTGCTTTTGAGGTAATAACTTGCGTCTGCAACATTCCCTAATAAAATAATTGTTTTCAATGTAATTATTATGCATGTGTTGATACTTAGTTGTACTTAGTTATGGTAAATTTTGCTATATGGTGCACAGACAAAGACAGGGTCTTTAAAAATTAAATCACAGTGTAAATATGTATACAGGAATTGAAATTCTTAATTCCTTGCCCCCAAAAGCAGTCCTCAACCTTTTTCATTTCATGACACACTTTCCGGGTTGCTTGATCCTTGCACTATACCGAACCAAATTTCACAATGTCAGTGTGAATCACCCACTAGTCATTTTGACAGGTGAACATCGGTCATAGCTTGAGCATGATACAACACAGTGATGTTCTTTCTTTTCTTAGAATCAAATCATGAGAAGTTTCACGTGCATTGTTGGGAGAACATTGATGGAATTCATCAATTAGAATAAGCCAGCTGACCTGTTCTTTGGATATAGGAGTGCCCCTGGAATCATATTAACATATCTCAGAGACATATAATATTTATCACTAATGCATATTTCTAAAAGAGACTGAAATCAACATTTAACTGCAGCAAGTAGAACTGGAGGGGTATGGGTGACACTTCCACTTACCCATTTCTGGATCCTTCCCACCTATGTGTAGCTAATTAATCCTTGGTGCATTATATTGCAAAGGTTGGCTAGCTGAACTTGTTCACTAACAGCCTTTATTTTCAATGGAAATAACACTGAAACTAACAGGGCAGTCACTTTGCTCACTGTTTTTAAATGCACTTTGCTTGCTTGGCAACTAAGGGCCTCAGCAGTTTTTATGTTTCCTATCTAATTTTTGGTCAGAAGTACCTTATACTAAAACTGCCAGAAAAATGTGGGTTTTGTTTCAGCTTCTTCAGCAGTTTTATTTAGTATTAGAAAACTTGAAATAACTTATCCATAAAATTTTCAGTTTTATGACTGTTTTGATAAATTTCTTGTGTCTCATGATTCATTTTCTCCTTTTCTTTGGTCAGTGTTCACATGCTTGAACAAGGCATGGTGTGCAGATCACTTTGCTTGTGCCCTGTGTGACACTAAGCTGAACCAGAAGAGCAAGTTTTTTGAGTTTGACCAGAAGCCAGCATGCAAGAAGTGCTATGAGAAGCTACCCATCGAGTTGCGTCGACGGCTTAAACGCATGCATGAGGAGCAGGCCAAGAAGGGCAGCGTCTAACTCCGTACAACTCTCTTTTTACCAGTTTTGAAATTTGATTCTTGAGTGAGGCTTAGGTCACACTGTAAAATTTGCTTAGATTTTTTAGTACAAGTTTTTGGGAATTGGTAACAGTATCAATATCTCAGGATAAATTGTGACAGAAAAAAATTACTGAAAATTTATTAGGAAAATGAAATTTTACAGTGTGAACTTAGCTAACAAGGTGCTTCAAATGTTTTTTCCTATTGACTATGCTGCAGCTAATCAGTTTTTGATGTTTTCATTGTGAACTAATTTTTAAGAAATGAACGTGCCTTCTAACCACCATAAAAATATTTTTATTGAACATCAGGTTTGGATCGAATACTGCACTCTAGAGCTAGTCCGAAATGCGTGAAATTTGTTTTGTAAAAGCAGAACATTCATTAGGACTGAAACTTCTGCAAAGTCTTTACAATCAGCTGCTTGGACGAGGCAGGTCTGCCATAAAAAAGGGTCATTTGTTCCAAAGCTTCCCCAAGCTGTCTAGCCTATGCAAGAAGCAACCTGAATATGTTTCCAGCAGGAAAAGAAACAATTAGCAACAACTAAAGGAAAAAGAAAAAATTTGTAGGTATCAAAGAAGAAACATGTGCACAAACATCACTCAGTCATCCACATCTTCACGTTGACTGGAGAAATACGAGACAAGTCCACCGAACTCACTCGTCCCAGGAAGTCCATGGTGAGGGTGGGGCAATTGAGGATGTCCAGGTTCAGGAGAGTCCTCACTTGCTGGGTCTGTTGGTCCTTTGAACCCTGGCTCATACTGTACCGGTCGATGAGGCATCACCTGGGGGGGGTACCGGACAAACGGGGGGCGATACATGCCTGCCTGGTGCCGAGGTGGATACTGTGTGAATCCGGGCTGATAGGCATGGGGATCTGGAGCAGTCCTTGGGACAATATGTGGGTGTGGGGGAGGGACCCTAGGAGGTGTCCCTGACTGTAGAGCAGCTGTTGGTAATTGGGGCAGCACAGCAGATTGAGGTTGTAATGGACCAACAGGACCACCACTAAGTGGTAATTGTGGAATAGGTGCTCCTGGTATGGCCACATGCTGAGGTGGAAGTGCAGATGCCTGTGGATATTGAGGAGGAATGTAAGGAGGATAGGGCAGCTTAGGTGAATCTTGTGGCTGCTGCTGAGGTGGAAATGGTTGCTGTTGCAGTGGTGGGGGCATTCCTGGTCGCCAATATGGTGGTGGTTGCCCCTGCTGCTCAGGAGTAACAACACGCTTGATCACTGATTCTTCTCCGGGCAAGGGTGCCATTGGTGTTCCAATTGCAGGTGGACGCTTGATTTCAGCACTGATTCCCTGCAATCGGGCCTTCTTCATCTCAACTGTCTCACCCCTTGCCTGGCGGTTCTTGCGAGTGTCCTTCAGGGGGATGGTGTTCATGTCCTCATCACTGTGAAGTGCATCTTCCTCATCCTCCTCCTCATTTCCATGTGGCTGTTCCTCCTCTTCTTCCTCCTCCACCTCCTCCTCAGCACTATCTTCACTCTCAAGCTCAGCCTTCCCCTTCTTAGGACCTGTGATTGGAGTCATGATACAATATGCTTGAATGAGCTGAAGAAATTCAACCAAATCCAAAATCTGGAATGATTCCAAATATATGACACAGCCTCAAAAACTGCATTAGTTTTGAAGGCTTATTTAGGTTACTCAAAATTTACCAAAAACAGGTACTCTGCAACTAATTCTACATTACATGATAATTCATTGCTCATATGCCTTTCACGTTTAAAATCAAATCAACTACAGAAAAATCATGGTAATATATCAACGATCAAAAAGGTTGTACATCAATTAGTAGATACATGTCATGTACAACTAATGAATTGCTCTGTTGATTGTCACCAGACCACTTTCCCACACTAAGAGAGGAAGGAACAAACCAGAAGGACGGGATGCAGGAAGACGGGTGGCCATGGCAGGTTTCCCTCGCCTGGCCAGACCTGCATAGGTGCGAATAGGGCGAGCCCCACCCTTGCGACTGGTGCCCTCTGCCTCATCTATCTCCTCCTTGTCCAGTGTGAACTCATCCCCACTGTCTGACTCTTTTTTCCTCTTCTTGCTCCCTCCCTTTTCAAGCAAAAAAAAGCCACTTATGATTCATGATGCTCATCATCAAATGGAAAGATGCTACACCAAGCTTGGAGTAGCTCCAACCAAGGACATTCATACCAATAGAGTATGAGAGATTCTGTGATAAACTAGTCAAGCAGATTTAACTTAACAAGTGAATTGCCTACTTCAGTACACAACAAAATTTCTCACGAAAGAACTATAATGATGCTACTATTCAAGTATCACTACCTAATTCAAAATTTAAAATCTAGTTAATATTGAATTACATTCTTCAAGTAATTCAATCCTTTTTCAGATCATCAAACCCAGCCACCAAGTTCCAGAAAAATGTGAATCTTAAACAGTAAAAGCCATAGCTTCAACTTCAACAGGATAGTGAACCAAATTATTGTTGCTGGGCAAGCAAAGTAAAAGTGTAATACCAGCATTATATTAGAATCGGAACTAAACAACAAGCTAGTTATTATATTTCTGATTAAATTATTTTAAACATTTTTTTTTACTAATGATTACCCATAAAAATAATTAACTTTAGTATGATTTTAGCTAAATGGAAGCTTTACAAATAAATGGAGACCCAAAACAAGAAAACCCAAGAAAAAGTTTTCCCCTAATACTTCATGCATTATAGTTCATAATTTAAAGTGGAAAACCAGCCCAAAAAATGTGAACAACTGGTCACATGTGTTAACGGGGAAAAACCAGTTTTAAATACAGAAACATACATAGGAATCATCTATATCATCATCGCTGCCAACGAGTTCCCGGTAGTTGATCTGGCGGCCACGGGTGCGACGGCGGGGCCCTTCGTCCTCTGACTCCTCTTGGATGAATACCCCACTCCCAGCTTTCAGCTCCTCCAATTCAGATCTCAAGTGCTAGACAAAAGCAAACACTCAACTACTGATGATACATTCAAGCCATGGCCATGGAAAGCAGAAACATGAATCATAACATCCATGTACAAGCCAAGTAGTATTTGCATTCCAAGCAAAATTCTAAATGCAAGCAACCCATGAAGGTGCAAGGCAGATGAAAATAAGACAGAGTAATACCAGTGTGTACTCATCATTATTGAACCTGAGACAACAGATGTATCATAAGCATTAAATTTACAATAGAAACTTAATTGATGAGGATTCTTTTATATTAACCTTAAAAACATAATTGAAACTTTCTCCAAAATTACAACATTCCTTATGTGAAGCAATAGAACAATTGAAGCCAATAATGCAGCACACCAATGACACAAAGGAATCCTTTTGTCAAACCTTTCTCTTTTTGCTGGGCGGCCTTGGAGCTGCATCAGTCCTTGGAGGTGGTTTGGCTTTGCCTTTGGCCTTCTTACGGTTTCGTCGTCTCCGCTCCGTAGAATCATCTGAGTCCTCATCACTCCACTGAGACTTGCGTCGACTCCCAACTCGCCTGTCAAAACACTCAGATGAAGGTGTACTGAAACTCTCAAACCCAAATGTACATGCAGGAACATTCATTTTGCACATTGGGGAACTTTTTTTTTCTGGGTTTATTAGCAATGACAAATGGCATATCTGAACAACTAATGCATGGTCAAACTGGTATGTTAAGCCATAAATATAAACTTCTGAGACGATCATGGATAGTTCACTCAGAAAGCAGAGGAGGAGAATGGAAAATGATGCCTGAAGACAAATGGGAATGGGGAGGAACAAGTAGCCAGTCACTATTCAGTGCTCATCAATGAGAGCTTCCAATATTTTCTCTAAATTTATTTGATCTAGTTTCATTGATAAAAAAAAGAACACAAACTGGATGACTGCAGCAAAGGAGTCAGGAACTTATACTGATAATGAAGGAAGAGAGTATGAGAATTTCAGCACTCCCCCTGCTTCCATTTTCTCATATTTACATCCCCTGCCATGTGCACATTCACCCACATTCACAGTCCCCTATCAAGAATACCATGTACTCATATATCTCCCTGCACTCTCACAGACTGTGCTGCTAGGGCGGGACAAAGACAGGATGGAGATAAGAACTCCCCATTCTCCATTTCAGAAGAAAAAAAAATGTATTTCTTCTCTCTACAGGAAAAACATAATATCCAGTGTATTTTCTGTATTAGGGGACCCATTGAATCCTCTCTTCAAAATCAATACTTTTTTACATCTGCAATTTTACTTACATTTGATTATGGAATGCCAAGAATATAAGTAAAACTGCCTTACCCAGTTATATTCATTTTCATCACACCAAGCTTTGACAATATTCGGTGAAGGTGCAGGACACAGAAGAGACTAACATAAGGAATTATTATCACATAATCCATGACTAACCAACACTTTTTCCCCGAATTTTGAAGGAGAACTTGAGTAAAAACTGGAAAGGAAGAGGAGGGAAATTCCATACTTGGTGCTGGATTTGCATTTCTTGCCACCCCAGGTCTCATCGCTGTCAGATTCGCTTGCACTGGGACTCCTCTTTCGCTTCCGCTTCTTGTGCCGGGACTTGTCATCCTCATCCTCGCTCTCATCCACTGCTGGGCACAACAAGCATCAATTGTAATTCTGTTGCTTTCTGGAACTCATTTTTCCTACACATGCAACTCAGTAAATCCATGATCTAATTTTCGCTATCAATATTGCTGATCATTGTTGTAGCAAATTGTACACAGTCCTGACAACACTCCAAATGCAATGTCATCTTCATAGGAAAACATCACAAAGATCAGCCTGCATTGCTTTGCATCCTATCTTCAATAACCCAGTAGTTGCCATCAAAACATACAGTGGCCACTCATGAAAACAGTACAACTCATACCAAAAATCGCACAAAAGACTTGGGATTTATGCAGGATGTCTTCAAGACATCCTACATCAGTCTCATTTTTTTTAGTTGACTGTCCCTAGTACTAATGTTCCATAAAATGCTTTAGAGTGTTCCAGAATGGCTGCATGGCTTGTACAAATAAACATAAAGCTCTCACATGCTAAAAAGCAAACTACTTCAAGGAAATGATCTGCTGACCAAAGTCACTGTCATATCGACTGGTGCGGGTGGAGCGAGAACTGCGACGGACAGCCTCTCGGCCAGAGCGCCGCCTGCGGCTGGGGCCGTACGACTCATCGCTGTCGGCATCCTCGTCCTCTTCTTCCTCCTCCTCGTCCTCATCTTCTTCCTCGTCTTCCTCATTCTCCTCCGCACTACCAAAAAAAAAAGAAAGTGAAATCAAGGTTCCAAGAGAGAAAAGCACCATCCAGAAATTAATAAATTTGAAAAAATGCCATACAATTTTTTAGATATTGTCAGGTGGTACAGACATTAACCTGCATGATAAAAATCAAACCCAGAGCAGTCAAAAACAACTGAGATCTATGATGAAAGACACTGCAACCATTACAATGCTAATTCACTTGTTGACATGGGGCTACCAATTAATCAATAGCTTATATTGCAGTGGTTAGGAATCATTAATTGAAAGTTTTGCTTGACTTAACTTTCCTTTCTCTTGCCAGCTAATACTCAGAAGAATCTAAAGTTACATCATGCATGAAGGCAGTTGTGATTTACCATGAATACAGTAGCACAGATATATTCAACTATTACAGGACAAAAAAAAAAATTACAACACAAAACCCCAGGATCATGAAAGGCTTTGGCTCTCCTCCCAGTCCCTCCCACCCAACTTTCTCCTGACATGTTATTTCAAATGTATCACTTATGATAATGCTTTGGCTAAGCAAAGCACATCAATAAGCTATCTACTCATAGCACAAATTGACCCTTATTTCTGTTACTAGAAGCTGCAAGGTCAGACCTGGAGCCACGGAAGTCCTCGTCTGAGGCGGCATCATCACCCTCATCATCGCTCGAAAAGTCCAGACTGGTGAGGGCCTTCTTCTTCTTCTTCTTCCAGGTCAGCTTCTCCAGGTTGGCCACCCGCTCCCTATGCGCTTGGGACTCTCGATCTTCTGGTAAGTCTACAGCAGGAATAAGTTGAGCCTCTGCTGCTTCACCCTCACTCTTGGCATCTGCCTTTGCCTCTTCTGTTGCTGCTACCTCCTCCTCTTCCTCCTCCTCCTCCTCTTCTTCCTCCTTTCTCCCCAGCTCTTCCTCTTCCTCATTGGCAGCTATAATATTTTGCATGTCCTTCCCACGAGATACTCGTTCCTCGTGCACTGCTGGGTCATCCTGTAAAATTAAATGCATTAATTATTTAAAATTTAAAAGCAAAAAATTAACATTAAAAGGTAAACCATAAGCTTATTTCCCAATCTTTGGATGATTGAATGAACTTGTGGGTAAATTACTGACAAAATTTTAACTTTATAACTTGCACACTAACATGAAGACCACAAATTTTCATTTCACCTCAATGGCAGACTTGATGAGATCATCAAACTCTGAGAACTTGTAGGACACTTTTTGGCCAGGGTTCCTCGCCCTCAGAGGGTAGATGGGCGTTTCATCCTCCTCACTTGAGGATGAGTAGCTAGATTCATCGTCTGAGTCACTCTCTGTTGAAATAAATAAAAAAAAACCTTTTCCCTTAGGATGGTATTGGGTGTCACATGACACATTATGAATAAAAACTGACAAATAAAAAATAGGAACAAAGTAAGAACAGAGGAAGGCAAGTGAATAGTTTAGTGCTGACAAGTTCCTTTTCTTGGAAAGCAATAGAAAAGAATTCATGGCCACAAATAACCTGTTTAACACATAGTTCTATAGAACATGTTTAAACATTCTTTCATGGTGTTCCTAGGGCGAAATTTACAGCAAATCTTTTCAAATCTTGCAAATGGGATAGACAAAAAAAAGGCAGAAAAGCAGCAAGACTGGTAGCCCCCNCCCCCCAGCAATTTCCACAGATGCTTCCACCAGGAATCCACATCAATACCCTGCACACTCTCACCCACCAACATGAACAGGACATTGTAGGTTCTGTGCTGGTAGAAAAGACTGGAAGGTACTGCGACACTTGTCACCTCTTACACCCATCAAGATTTGTCCATTCTACAAACTGAATCATCAATCCTAATCCAGATTTTTATGAGAGAGCAGAGAACACTAGCCAGAAACCTCAGTTCTCTCATTTAAGAATCTTTGAGCTAAAAAATATTCGAGGTTACCACAACTTTCTCTAAGCATGATTTTTATATGACACAAAGTAAAATGTTTATATTCAATGTCACTCTTATAACATTTACAAATATGAGTTAGCTACATGTGTCCTATTCCTAAGATTTTCATGGCAGAATAAAATCAAAGTAGATCAAAACTCCACATCATGCACATAATACAGATTTCTGAAAATGAAAACTCCCCCAAGTTACTTCAATGGATAATGGCCCCTTCTTTCCCTTCATTGCTCAAAATTCCATGCTGCAATCACAGCAAGTTCCATCGTTTTGAAAAAATCCCTCCATTTTTCTTACACGGGTATTTAGTATATGAGACACATTGACTACTGCAGGTGCCTCCTTAACAGGGCAATGAAATGATGAATCCATCCTATGTGGAGCTTCTCACTCTCAATAGTTTCTTGGGAATAGCATGATTCTGTTACTTGTAATGCAACTCATTCTTTGCTTAAGGGTAAAAATGTGCCCAGACAAATTCCTCAATCCACAAAGGTAAATTACAGTCTCTTGCAATGAAATTCTATCAAGATCAGCATAGCCCTTTTGCATAGCCAGCAGAGCCAAAACCCTATTTAATTTGATGAATGCTTATTATTAGGAAAACTAATAGCAAATGCAGCTCATGAGACTCCAGACCTGACTCATCCTCGTCATCTTCGTCATCGGAACCCTCCTCGCCCGAATCCTGGCGCTTGCGTGCGGGGATGATGTTGCTCATGCTGATGGTGACATACTCCAGCCGTTTCTTCATCATGTCGTCCTTCTCCCGCTTCTTCAGGAGGACATCGATGCTCTTCAGATGCTCCTGCAGCACCTCCACCAATGACACCTGCCACAGCATCAAGCAAATAAACCAAGTTCCTGATTGATGAATATACTAGTTAACTTCTTCCCCACAATCCATAGAAAATGACAAATTATTATGTCTACAAAGGGAAGGCAGAGCTCTGTGAGCATGGAATTCTATATCAAGGTTTAGTAAAAGTTCTGTATATTAATTGTAACTAGCAATAAGCAGAATTTACAATTGCAGGTATCCAGCAAATGAATTAAATTGCATGGTACATGCTTTTGCTCACTATATCTACAGTCATTTATTTGACACTATTTGAATAAAGTATTGCCAAGCCTTCCATTTTTCTTTTGCATAAAAAATTACAACACAGCCAAAAAAATATGAAACAATGCAGCAGAAAAGTAAAAGAAATTTAAACAAAAAAAACAGGAGACGCACATGTTCACAGGGTGGGCAGAACCAGTCGCCCTCAGGAATGACCATGAGAGGAGGTCGGAGGCAAGATGCATGCCAACCCTTGTCACACTTGTCACACAGAAGAATCCACTCTGGGTGGTCACCCTGGTGACACTTCTCGCATGCCATGTCATCTCCAACTTCCTCCACCACTACCACCTCCTCGCCCTTCTTGCGCTCTCCTGCAGGGGGGACCATCAACACTAGCAAGTGACTAGATGTATCAAATCAGCCTCAACTGATATATGCATCAGACTAGTACAGAATATGATTTTGGAAAAATTTACAACATAATTTTCCTATATTTTCCAGGTACAAAGAGGGACCATTCCCACAATCAAAACTAACACTATTTTATGTACAGGAAAACCTTATTAATTCAAAATTCTGAACCAAAAAATACAGAATTAGAAAAATAATGTTCAAATGATACGATTTAGTTGTACTTTCTCTTGTTCATCACAGTACATTAACAAGAGTAAAAGTGAAAAGACAGACAGCCTCCCATCTTATGTTTGAAAAATTAGAACATCCATATATAATGTATATTCCATGATGACAAATCAATCTCTTAGGAGACCTTTGCGTGCAGTGCGGGCATGCTTGGTAGGTGCACTCTCATCTCCTTCCTCTAGATCTGACTCAGGGGAGAACTCGTGGTCAGACTTGAAAACGAGAACCTCTTCTTCCTCTGGTTCTATGGCCTCCTCCTCTTCCTCGACCTCCTCCTCAGAGCTCGTTCCAGAGTCCCATGGGGCAAGACCACCTGCCTTCTTTTTCTTCTTCTTCCGCTTCTTCTTCTTCTTCCGTCGCTTCTTCGCCTCATCGTGCTGGTGGAGTGGAGGGGGGGGAAAGTAACAGAGGGAAATAACATACTGAACATTCCTCCATGCCAACTAAAGGTGTAATGATACCATCAGTGATATAATGCACCACCAAACATTCCTGGTGGATCTGGCTTGGCCAATTGGTGATACTTTGCCAGCCAACTTGATGGTATCAAAACTCTGAGGCATGAATGTCAGTGTGTTTTGAGGAAATTTCATGCTGATGATACACCTCAAAAGAATAGATACATCCATGCAACATATTATATTCATTTATAATATTTTCTGATGATACACTCACTCAGCTCCTCTGAGAAACCAAGAGATACTGGCCCAAAGGCATAAGGAACTCATGTAGCCTTTTACCAATTTAATTTTGATATTGCCACTAATGCAGGGAATAGCAAAACAAAAGACCAACAGCATTAACATATATATCAATATATATATATATATATCTCTGCTCTCACTAGTGCTTCTTTTCACATAACTTCACATTGCATAGATAGAACATGTTTCCAACATATCAAAGAAGCTTCTTCAAAAATCAATGCATAGATCCGAAGCTACAAACAATAATTCAAAAGAAATTGGGTGATGAAAATGGACCACAGCCTTCCCTGGTGGAAAGGAGGACATGCCTAAACCTTCTCTAGCCACTACACTTGTCCATTTTCAATTTCCAATATCTTTAAAATAATTTCTGATACCATTGATTTGGCAAAATTAAAATGAAAAAAACTTCAAAAGTCAGTTGGGAACATGTTACTTTATGCACATAGAATGTTTTGTGAAGCTAGCTCCAATGTGAGAGGAGATACATACTTGAATGTCATAGGTCATTTTTTTTTTTTCTCCAAAAATATGCATTCCCAGGTTTCCACATTTACTATGGACGGACCTTGTGGGAGCTCCGGTGCCTGCGACGGCCATGTTTCTTTTTCCCTTCTTCGTCCGCCTTGAGGGGAC